CACAGCAACTCTGCCTGGGTATGTAGGTCCCACCATCACCATTTTACATAGAGCCCGAGTTTGCCTGAGATGACACAGCTGGCCAGTGATGGAGCTGGCAGGTGCCCTGCCAGCAGAGCCGATGCCTTCCTGCCCTGCCATCCTGAGAACCACAGGCAGCTCATCCTGCTTCACAGAAAGGGTCTCAATGAAGGGGTGGGGAGAAGGAGTAAAAAGGAGGAGAAAAGACTGCGAAAGATGAGCATAGCATATGCTGAGGCAGGTTCTCATCTTACTCTCATAACTGTCAGAGCCAGGATTTGACTAAAAACCCAGCTGGTTGCCTGACAGGCAGAGCTAGCTTCTGCAGAGTGGTGCCTGCAAGATTCTCAGTCCCTTGTTTCCGCCCCAACGCAATGCTACATCCTCTCAGAGCACCTGAAACTCCCTCTGCCAATCACGACTTAGAGTTAGGCACATCTAGAGAAGGCCCCTGGTAGAATGAAAACGTTACTGGAAAGAGAAGTGTACTGGGCTGATGGCATCAGGCCACCCTTACAGTTGTCAAAATTGTGTGTGTGTGTGTGTGTGTGTGTGTGTGTGTGTGTGTGTGTGTGTGTTTTGAAGGGCCCAGGTGCCCAAATACTACATTAGAGATCAACTTCTTTGTCTCCACCTGCTGAATGAAAGCAGAATGCTCCAAGAGTGGGACCAAGAGGAGTAAGACTCACTGGAAAAAATAAGGATGGGAGTCTGGAATCAGGGCGTAGGCCTGATGGGTCATTTGGGGGAACCTCCCTCACGGTGTCCTGGAGGCAGCATGGTGTAGTGAGAAGAGGATTCTAGAGACGTGGGTTTGGGCTCAGGGTGGGCCACCTGACTTCCTTCTCCTCCCTGTAAAAAGAGAGGGGTTGGATAAGACGCTTACATCCTGTTCCAAGACCCCATGGCCCCATAAAAGGCCCTTTACCTTTTGTTAGCAGCTGAGAGACACCAGCGTGGGGCTCCCTCTGTCCACGCTTCCCCACTTCAGCTGGACAGAATCATGATGGCTGCAGGGGCACTGCCAGGGTGAATCCTAGGAGACCCCTCCATTGGGGTCCCATATCCTGTGCCCACGACTGGCCTGCTCCAAGGTGGCCTGTCTGCCCACAGCTGTGTCTCCCACCAGCACAGTTAATTTGCTGCTGTTCCTGGGAAGTGACAGCAACTTGAAGCAAAGTAATTAAGATGAAAAAGAGGCCCAGCTGCTTGGGGCCAAAGGAAAATAAACAGACCAGCCCTGTGTGTATTCCACCGCCAAGAGCAGCAATTCCTCACAGAGTGATTACCACTTCCAACTCCATTCTCCGCCCCTCCACTGAAGGCAGAGAAGTGACCTACCAGCTGCTGCTGTTCCCACAGTGTACCTGACAGCCCAGCACCGCCTCATGAAGGTCTCCCAAATTACCTGCCCCCTACCTCTGCAGAAATGAAATCTACCAGTCTGGGTTTTTCCTTTGATTGACTGATCAATTCATTCATTCTTCTGACATCCATTGAGTGCCATTCATTCATTAAATATTTATTGAGCCCCTACTATGTTCTAGTCACAGTTCTGGGTCCTGGCTGATACAGCAATGAACAGATAGACAAAAATCTGTGCCCTCATCAAGCTCCGTTTTAGTAGGAGGAACAGACACTAAACGAGTAAAAATATAGCATGGTAGACAATGCTAGATGCTGTAGAGGAGAGTGAAGCAATAAAGGGGAGTATGGAATGTAGAGAAAGAAGAGGTAGATTTTAAACTGGGGTGGTCACGAAAGGCCTCAGAATGAAAGTGACATCTAAGCAAAGGCCTGTAGGAAGTGGGGAGTGAACCAGGCAGCCAAGTGAGGGAGGTGTGCCTGGCAGAGGGACAGCGTGCAAAGGCCCTGAGGTGTGCCCCGTGTTCAGTGAGGCCGGGGGGGAGTGGTAAGAGAAGTCAGAGAGGAAATGGACTTTGGCTTTCACTCATATGAGCAGAGGGGCAACAGGCCTGGCTGGCATTTCATTCTGGCTGCCACCTGAGCAGACTAAAGGGAGGCAAGCAGGGAAGCAGGCCCTGGGTGAAGTGTGAGAAGGTCTGGTTTCTCTTTCTGTGTCTGTCACCAGGCTATATAAGCAGAACAGGATAAATTCCAGGGAGAGGAAAGCTTGGGGTGCAGGACATCCAGACACTAACTCTCAGGGTCAAGCAGTGTGTGTGGACAACTGGAGAGAGCTCCAGGGAGTCAGGCTGCAGGGCTGTCATGGAGGTTCAGGAAAATGCTCCTTGCTGTATTGTGCGCGTGCGTGTGTGCGCGTGTGCCACATATAAATCTCTCTGGAGTGACAGATTTCTCACAGTGGGCCTCTGGGCTGGGACAGAGAGATTTCCTTACCTGCAAACCAGGCATGGTTACAATCCTTGCCAAGCATGCTGGGTTGTGGGAGGAACAACGGAGTCTGACCTTTGAGGCCAGAGAAGATGATGGGCTGAGTTACGAAAACTTCCGAGGGAGTATCTGTGAAAGTGCAAACACCCCCAGGGCCTCAACCAGTCATTAACACTCTTGGGAAGTGGGCCAGTAGTCTCCTAGCTAGATCCTAAGGCAGAAGAACCCAGGACAGTTAATATTCCTATTGGAAGAGGAGGAAAAGGGCTGGGTCCAGGAAAATAGATGAACTACAAGAAGTAGAGGTGCTGAGAGAAGGTAATGGAGGGGAGTGCTAAGGAGACAGGCAGAAACACCCTGTCCATCCTAGAACGTCAGCCAAGCAAGGAGGCAACAACAGAAGATAAGCATGTGGTCCTGGGTTCAAAGCTGGGCTCCGCTACTTCCTAATTGTGCCTCTTTCAATCTCATAACCTTTCGGTGTTTTGTTATTTTTCCTCCTTCTTCTTTAAGAAGGGAGTAGAAGTGTTGCTGAGATGTCTATCACTTAAAATTCTGACAACGCTTAAATAAGTCAACTGTGGGAAAGCTGTAAACATCGCATTATTACTATGCCCAAAAGACACCCCAGAAAGGGCTGCTCCGGATCAAGGAACAACCAAGTCTCAGAAGCCAGCAGGCCCCATCTGGGCTGGTCCATGCAACCAGCTGCAAAAGCTGACAAACACGAAGCTCTGTGGATTGAGAGCAAATGAGCTGGTAGATCTTGAGATTGCAAGTCTCAGGATGGTCAGCCCCCGACTGAGCAGAGATCACTATGTTGTTAAGTAGGCAAAAGGAGGACTGCGTGTCCTTTCAATGTCTTTCTGGGCAGAATTGAAGAGCTAAGAGTTACGCAATTCTCTAGGGGAATATACCTCTGTTTTTATAGTTTATTATTGATCAGTGTCCTGATTTTGAGAACTTACATGCTACTATGTGGTTGCATGTACAAATAGGAATATGCATGTATGTGAAGAGGCAAAGGATTTTAGTCCAGTAGAGAACCACAAAATTTATGGTTTTATTGCCCTGTAAGACATTAATCAGCTTCATTTCTTACCTTAGCAAACTTATTTCAGTATGTCTTTCCCAACTAAATACACAAATCTCTGTATTTCAAATGCTCCTTTGATAAACCAGCTTTACAATTCCTCTGGTTCCCTTACTAGAGTTAAATAAACCCTGGATAAAAGTTATGCTTTGACAAAACCCCAAAATGAGGACTCTGCCATACTTTGGCATGGGCCAGTGGCTTTGGGCCAGGCAATCTGCCTCGGAGCCTCACATATCTCTTCTGCCACAGGGAGAAGGCACCCAACTCCAAGACTGAGGTAGGGCTGCAGTGGGAAGAGGGACATGAAAGGACTTCGCACATCATTCATAGGATGCAAAAGCCAGGATTCATTGTTGTGACTCATCACATTAGGCTACTCCAAGGCTAGAAGGTCCCAGGCTTCTGAGGGCTGCATTCTCCAAGGCTTGGGACATGGATCAGGGGAAAGGCAGGTAGGGCAGCCCCAATACTAGACTCCATGTCCAGGAGGTGCCGTGCTGATGCTGCATTCTCCATTTGTGATGAGGCCAGGATTTTCCATGGGCCTCGGGTTCTGGAGGATGGAGACCTTTCAGGACCACGCAGAGAAGTCTACCCAGGGGCATGGAAAAGATGGAGGATGGAGTGGGAATCTGACCAGGAGCCAGGGTGGGGTACTCTAAAGGAGGGACAAGAGTCTTCATCTAACACCAGGTCCCTAACTAGTGGCCTCTATAGCCTGTCAGGACCTCATCATATTATTTTGTAGGTAGGAAAGTGCCCAGCTCAACTGACAGCACTATGGGATCTCTACCCTTGCTATCCGCATACTTGTGTGGCAGCACACACACGTGCAAACACACACACAGAGAATGAGTGTCAGGGGTCCAGTAAGCAATGTAGGCAGCTAAGGTCAGTAACAGCCAACCCTGCACAGAGGAAGTGAGCACAGAGCCGACAGAAAGAGAAGAGGAAAGGCATTCCAGGCCCAGGGAACAGCAGGAGCAGAGGCTGGAAGACAGAATTAACCTGTAGAATGTGGGGGAAGGTTAAGATGAGGCCATCAGACCTGGCCAGGATTGGCTCATACATTGAGTGACCTGTAATCATGGAAGTTAATAACCCACTGCCCCTGTGGTGGCGGTAAAAAGGGAGTGGACAAGGGCTTCCAACTGGGAACTCCCCTGCAGGGCCACACCCCATAAGGGGTGTGAGAACCCCTTTTTTCCTCATAGGTCTCACTCCAGGTTCAGTTCAGCTACTGTCTCTATAAGCCAGCCCAGCCTTGCCCCCTCCTGGAATGCCTCCATCCGTAGCTGCTCTGCCTTAAAGCCTGGGCTCACAGAGACGCTTCCCATTTGCTTAAGCCTTTTCCCCATCTCTCCTCTCCTGAGCTCTCCTTGTCTCCACCAGATGAACCTCCCCTTTCATCAGCTAATTATCCTGCTTATCTTCCTCACAGAGTTAGTATACCCTCCTTCCTGGAGTTAGGTCCTTTTCCTCTCCCCATTTTCCTTTGCCCTGATCTCCTCAGTACTTTGTTTTATATATATTGTGTATGGGGGGGGGGGGTGGTGGTGGAAGGCGTTTGTTTGTTTTTGCACATTGCCTTCAACCCTTTGTGGACCAAGACAAGTACATGTAAGCCTTTTGTTGTCCTGTAAATGTTCTGTTAAGATGAGTTGTTCTGGATGAAATTCTAAGCTTTGTGGACCCCCCCCCGTCGGGCAACTACGGATTACATTAGGGCAAGCACGATGCAAGGCCCACAGTAGTTGCCTAATTCTTGCCTAGTGATTGGCAGTTTAACCCACTCCTAGCCATGCTCCATTACTGGCCCATTCACCTACAAGCCTAGATGATAGAAATCCCACCCCCCTATCCTTTCCACTGACACTGTGACCCCCAGCTCTCAGAAAAGCTCAAATCATTTGAGGGCTCAAACCCCAGCATTGCTCCCTGAGTTTCTTGGACATGTTCACACCACCAAAAGACATGAGATTCAGACGTCGCAACCAGAGAGAGTTAAGTTCCCTGCCAAACCAAGGCCAGCCTCGTAGACTCAGCCATAGCTCAGGGAAGACTCAGGAGGTCGTCCCCTCCTAAAGCCCGGCCCAAGAGTCACAGTTCAGGCGTTGTCAAGGCCACAGGCCCCGGAGCACCACGAGGCAGCCTCAGGAGAAAGGTTTGCAAAGAGCCGGGCCGTGGGAAGCCCGCCTTTTCCCTGAGCAGCCGCCAGGTGCTGCCCTCGATGGCATAGAGCAGCGTGAACATGCGGTTGACAGTATAGACGGTGTCGCCGCGTACTACCGCCGTAAAGAGGGCTCCCTTGCTGTTGACAAACTGGCCGGGCAGCGCCGTCCACTGGCCCGTGGCCAGGTTGAGGCAGTCGATGGCACAGTGCAGGAAGTCATCCGACGGTCCGTTGCGCACCACGTAGAGGCTGTCCCGGTGGGCCACCATGAAGTGGCCGTAGCTCTGCGGACGCTGCAGGTCGGCCACCGGCAGCCACGCGTCGGTCCGCACCGTGTACTCCACGACAGCCGTGGTGTCCGCCGGCCGCCACAGACACACGAAGAGGCGGCCGCGCGCCTGGGCGCAGGGCACGCCAGCAGCCGGCTGCGGCAGGTCGGCCACGAAGCTCCAGCAGCCCGTGGCCGGGTCGTAGCGCTCCACGGAGCTCATGGCCGTCCTCTGGAACTCGCCCCCGATGGCGTAGAGGCGGCCATCGAAGCCGGCCAGCGCGGTGTCGTAGCGCGGCTGGTGCGGGCTGGGGAACTCGCACCACGTGCCGCCGTCGGGGTCGTAGCAGAAGCCGAGCTCCACCACCTCCTTACTGGCGCCCCGCACGCCCCCCACGATGTAGAGCTTGTTGCCCAGCGTGGCCACCCCCGCCAGCAGCGTGCTGGCCTCCAGGGGCAGCGCGGCCAGCGTGCGCCACGCGTTCTCCTCCTCGTCCAGGTAGCACACGGTGCGCGACTCGTCCTCCAGGAAGCCGGGCGCGGGCGTGTGCGTGCTCACGGCCACGTAGCTGCTGGGCCGCAGCGCCGCCACGTAGGCGCGGGCCTCGGGCAGCGCCAGCTCGGCCGCCAGCTCGCGCGCGCCGTCGCGGATGAAGAGCGCGGCGCCGTGGAACACGTCCCGCAGGCCGAAGGCGGCGGCCGCGTCGCACAGCAGCGCGCAGTTGTCGGCCGTGAGGCTGTGCTCCAGGAAGCGCGCCAGCGCCGGCGCCTGCAGGAAGGCGGCGCACTCCACGGCCTGCAGCAGGTCGTCGGCGGCCTCCAGCGCCGGCCGCTCGCCGCGCAGCACCCGCAGCGTGGTGCGGAAGCCGCCGGGGCTCAGCGCGCCCAGCCGCACCTCGGCCGCGCGCGCCTCCCGCATGCCCGAGCGGAAGAGGCCGCGGAAGAAGCCGCAGTGCTCCACCAGCAGGGCCCGGTCGGCCTGGAAGAGCTGGCCGCCCACCCACACCTGCACCGGGACCTGCGGACTGGGAAGCATGGCGAGCCGGAGGGCGGGGGGCTGCCGCGGGGGGCCTGGATGCAGCGGCCACGGACTCCGGGGCTCCCCGGTAGCAGCGGAAAAACACTTCCCCGGGATATAAATATATCCCTGGCTAAAGATAGTCTGGCTCATGTGATGTGGTGGCTGGCAGGTTGTAGGGCCCTGGGCCCAGAGGGCATCAGAGACCTGCACGGTCACCCAGTCCCGCCCGGGAAATGATAATAGTGACCATATACCGAGCTCCGACCCACATGCTGGGCACGTGAGCGGTGCTTATAAAGGTATCCCACTTAACCTGCACTAACCCAGCGGCATGCTCTTCTGTAAGCATGTACCCTCATTCTCCGACCCTCTGTTTGCTCAAAATGGGGCTAATAACACCTCTTTCATGGTACAGGTAGCCCCTGCTTTTTAAAAGTTTGCTTAATGCCACTTTGCTTTCTTGAAAGACGCACATAACTCTCTGTTTTCACTAAAAGAATATCTGAAAAGCAAACATAGCGTTCAGTGTTTTGTAACCAGTCCTTGTAGGAGCAGCTTGTACCCGGAGCAGCAGCGAGAGTGTCCCCTCCAAAATCCTTCTCTGGGAATGACACTCAGCATCTCAATAGCAAACCGCCATAACTCTGAACTGTGTCTGTGAGCATCTCTGCTTTATCCATTTGTTTTCTGCATCCATTAGCAAGATAATTGCTTCTTCGCTTTTAGGCTGTTTCGATTTACAAAAGGTTTTGTAGGAACGCTCTACTTTTGGATAATTGGAACAATATCTGTAGTGTTCAGAATGAGGTTCAGAGACTATTACGTGACTTGTTCAGGGTCATTCAACTGGGAAGAAGCAAGGACAGGATTAATACCTAGCCCACACCATCGGCTGGTGGACACAGGGAGTACTTGGGCACTGGAGGGAAGAGGCAGAGGTGGGACAATTAGAGTGAGCCAGGCTGGGGTCTGGAGCAGAGGGCTAACTTGGTCAGGGCCCTGACTCTGGCCTAGTCCAATCTCATTTTGAGCTTGGATTTTCTTCTCTGTAAAAATGGGAGGGTAGCACGTATCCAAAAAGCCCCTGAATGTGGAAGTACTTCCTGACTTGGGATGAGAATGGGAAGCTGATGTCTATTCCCCACTTCCCAGCACTCCTCCACTTCTGTGTCTTTAAGCCTTAGGAAAAGGAAAGCGGGGCTGCTGATCGTATATCTCTGGGTGAGGAGGAGAAGGGCTTCTTGAAATAATAACAGTTAACACTTAAATTGCACTGTCCAACACTTTTGTAAGCACTTTAATTCTTATAATTATTGTAACAATCCTATGAGTAAATGCTATTATTTTCCCTCATTTAATAGGTATTATCTACTTACTAGAGGCCCGGTGCACGAAATTTGTGCGGGGGGTGGGGGGGTGGCGGGCAGTCCGGCAGCCCAGCCTGCACTCTCTCCAATCCGGGACCCCTCGGGGATGTCCAACTACTGCTGGCAGTCGGACATCGCTCTTACAATCCAGGACCACTAGCTCCTAACTGCTCACCTGCCTGCCTGCCTGATCACCCCTAACTGCCCCCCCTGCTGGCCTGGTCACTCCCAACTGCCCCCCTGCGGGTCTAGTCACCCCCAACTGCCCCCCCCCACCAGCCTGGTCGCACCTTACTGCCCCCCCTGCTGGCCTGGTTGCCCCCAACTGCCCCCCCCCCGCCAGCCTGGTCACCCTCAACTGCCCCCCACCCCCGCTGGTCTGGTCGCCCCATGAAGCCTGCTGCTCAGTCGTTTGGTCGCCCCTCACTAACCCCCCTGCCGGCCTTGTCGCCCCACACAGCCTGTTCGGTTGTCCATTCAGTTGCGATGGTCGCTTAGGCTTTTATATATATAGATTGCTTATAGCAACACTATGACTTAGACATTTTTATTTTTATTGATTTCAGAGAGAAAGGGAGAGGGAGAGAGAGAAACATCAGTGATGAAAGAGAATCATCGATCTGCTGCCTCCTGCACGTCTCCCACTGGGGATCGAGCCCACAACCCAGGTATGTGCCCTGACTGGGTTCATAGGTTGACACTCAACCACTGAGCCACTCCAGCCTGGCAGTTACATATTATTAATGGCCCCACTTCATAGGTTAGGAGACTAAGGCTAAGAGGTTGTCACATGCTCAAGGTCACATGGCTGGAAAGTGGCAGAGCTAGGACTGGCGTGCAGCCAGTCTGACTCTAGAGCAGCCATGGGCAAACTACGGCCCGCGGGCCGGATCCAGCCGTTTGAAACGAATAAAACTATTGAAATAAAAGACCGTACCCTTTTATGTAATGATGTTTACTTTGAATTTATATTAGTTCACACAAACACTCCATCCATGCTTTTGTTCCGGCCCTCCGGTCCAGTTTAAGAACCCATTGTCGCCCTCGAGTCAAAAAGTTTGCCCACCCCTGCCCTAACCCCTGTGCCTGCTGTCTCTCTCTACTACAAATGCTGGGCCAGGTGGTCACAATTGGAAGGAACTTAAGGCTCATATGGTTCAGCACCTTTATTTATAGTGGAAGATCAGAAAGAGAATTGCCTAGGGTCATTTAGCTTGGGGCAGACAGTCCCAGGCCTACTGCTGCCCAACCTTGGGGTAGTTTTCCCCCTGCACTGAACTTTCTTGCATGACTACCTAAGACTCTGGGTCCCAAAATGTCAGATGGAAGGGAGCTTAGTGATTATTTTCTTCTGCCACCTCATTCTACTGGTGGGGAAACCGAGGCCCAGACCTGTGTGTGATGATATCTGCCATTCTGGAGATGTTCAACTGCAGGACTACTTCAGGAGGATGGAGAGGCTCACAGTGACCAAGTCGGAGTTGGGAGGGGGCAGGAGAATTTCCCTTCCCCCAGGACACAAGCATGCGCAGACCCTCACGTATGAATCTGCAGACCCAACACAAATGTGCCGCCCCTGCCAGGGAACTGCCACCCAGTTCACTACATCAAAGCAGGTCTGGGATGTGGGGACCACTTGGTGAGCCTGGGAAGCCAAAGGCCTGGAGGAGGCAGCCAGAAATATCCCAGATGCTCTGCCCTAGGGACCAGGCAGGAAGAGGAAGTGGAGTTGGAGGGGGTGGGCAGGAGTCCCCATAATACTATCCCAGGCCCTCTGCCAGCTTCTTTCCTTCCCTGAGGCCAGTCATTGGCTGACAGGGAACAGTTGTGACAATCTCCCTCTTGGAAGAAAATAGACTGCAATGCCGTCTTAACTGTCCTTGCTAGTGGGCTCAGGAGTAGGAGGTGGGTATCTGACTATTCCCATTTCACAGATGAGGAAAGGGAGGCCCAGAGATGAAATAGGCTTTTCCTTGATTATGAACAAAGATGTGGGACTGGATTGAACCCTGTCCACTGATCCCAGGTCCCAGCCCAGCTGCCTCTGCTCACCAGCACTACTAGTCTTACCTCAGAGGAGAGAAACTGTCTCCAGGCTCAAGCTAAGAGGTGAGGTTGAGAAGGGGCTGACTCCCAAAGGGCCACAGTTTCCTCCCAAATGGCCTGTTTCAGGGACCTAGTAATTGGCAGACACAACCAGATGGAGCCATGGCCTGGACCTCTCCTCAGAGCTTGGGGGAAAGGAGAGCAAATCCCTCCTGGCTGAAGCTTGCTCCCAATCTCTTTTCCCCAAGTCCAGCCCTGGCTTGAGAGGGTTGGAACACCGGTGCACACACCAGCTCCCACCCTTCAGAGCCAGGCAGTAGGGAGGGGTTCACCCAAGGTGAGGGTCATGGTTCTGAGGCTGGGCTGAGGATCAGGCCTTTGGCTCTGCCCCAAGACCCCAGTGGGGTGTTGTCTGCAGCTGGTGAGTTTCCTCCTCCCAGACAGTGAGCATCCCTCTGGGACTTGGAGAGGACAGGAACTATCCTGGCTGTGGGCAGCCCACGGAGTTCCCAGGCCCTGCCTGACCTCACACCACCCTCCTTCTCCACTTTGCACCCCTAATGCTGTGCAAGGTTGGAGGTGGGGGAAATGAAAGGGGCTGTGTGTCAGACATTCTGAGCCTTTCCAGAGCATACGCCCAGCCTTTTCTTTGTCTCTGCAGAATGACTGGCCCACAGTAAGGGGTCTGTTAAGTGGAATCCTGGGCCCTAACCTAAGTAGGAGTCCCCAGTCTGATGGAGGAGACACAACTCCATCCTAGGAGAGCCTCCAGTCTGATGGAGGAGACATAGCCCTTGCCCTGGGAGGCGCCCCCACACTCCGATGGGGGACCCCTGGCCTTTGCTGCCCCTGGTGGTATTTCTACACACAGGGGAGTGAGGAGCTTGCCTGGACCTGACAAAGGAAGAACACTGGACTAGGGATCAGTATGACTGCCAGGCTCTGATGCTGGGACTATCACTGATTTGCAAAAGCTACCCAACCCTCTCTGGGCCTCAGTTCTTCATCTGGGAAATGGAACTTTGGATCTGATTTCTAAGGTCTGTTCGGCTTTGACATCTGAACTTACCATTGTACAACCACAGGAGAGGTTGTCATATTGGGCCTCCAGCGAAGGCCGTGACATCACAACAGGGTCTTGAAAGCTTAGCTTTATGTGGAATGGCTCCTGGGGGGTGGGTGGCAAGGGTAGGACCGGGCATCCAGAAATCCTCACTGGCCCTACCTGTCTAGACCTGTCCATGCCCCACTCATCCCCTCTAGAGACATCTCTTGAGCACCTGCTACTGGTACATGCCCACTGCTGGGCTGGGTGCTACATCCTCTGCATTTTGGGTACTTGAGGGCCTCCTGTAAGAACCGTGAAGAGGGTTGGGCTCCTTGTCCTCGCAGAATAACCTCTCTCTTGACCTGAGGTCCAAACCTCTGGTCACTAAACAGTTCGGCTTTTGGGAAGATGGGTGAGAAGTATGTGCTACGCATGTCAGAGGGAGGAGAGGGAACCATCATTTGCTTTTTTGGGCCATGGGCCGACCTCTGGGTGGGACTCTTTCATGTTATCTCAACTCCTTAATACTACCCCTATTTAAGATGAGGAACCGGGGCTCAGGAGCGCAAAGGAGCTTATTCCAGGGTCTGACAGTAGGTGATTATTCC